CTGCCTAAATGTTGAATGCCATCATTTTCCCTGTCTAAATGTTGAATGCCATCTTTTTCACTGCCCAAATGTTGAATGCCATCATTTTCCCTGTCTAAATGTTGAATGCCATCTTTTTCACTGCCTAAATATTCAATGCCATCATTTTCCCTGTCTAAATGTTGAATGCCATTATTTTCACTGCCTAAATATTCAATGCCATCATTTTCCCTGTCTAAATGATGAATGCCATTATTTTCCCACCTAAATGTTGAATGCCATCATTTTCCCACCTAAATGATGAATGCCATTATTTTCTCACCTAAATGTTGAATGCCATCATTTTCCCTGTCTAAATGTTGAATGCCATCATTTTCCCACCTAAATGTTGGATGCCATCATTTTCCCACCTAAATGTTGAATGCCATTATTTTCTCACCTAAATGTTGAATGCCATTATTTTCCCGCCTAAATGTTGAATGCCATTATTTTCTCACCTAAATGTCATTGCTACAGTTCGCATATTTTTATATATTTTTCCAGAATTCCATTGAATTTGAACCAGATATATATAAATCAATATTTCCTATAGGTCTTGTTTGAAATTTAAAAAAAAAAAGTTATGTGGGTTTAATTTTATGAAAGGTTTCACAAGTTTACTTTGATATTCAAAGAGTTAAACACCCAGCTAACTGTGAATGTTTTGTAGGTTTTTAGCAATCGTTCTGGGCTGTCATAAGTCTAGTAACTAAACATTAACATAATGAACACAACCCTCATTACTGATTTATTCCACCCACCAGGTAATCCTAAAGGAGCAATTTTGACGCATGGCAATATGGTTGCCACGGTTGCAGCATTCATAGAAATGATGACGGTAACTTTCAGTATTGTCTCATCTCTTGCATCCTCAAAGTACTGATTAATAAGTCTACTTTTTACTGAAGTAGACTTTTTAGCTCCACTGATGAAATTGAAGCATGTCAGGCAGCATGTATTTAAATGTATTGACAGATAAACATTTTTAACTTCTTAAAAACTGTTAGTCATATGACTTTGATACTTTCAGGAAGGTACCTTGTGTGGGTCCTCTCTGATTTGTTCTTTTTAAGCTAATAATCATTATTTGCTAGTTTTAGTGAATATTTTAGACAAAATTCTGAAATTGCGTTGCCTGACTACTTTGATATTGTACAGGTACTTTGGGTGCATTTTGTGACGAAAGCTTAAATTTTCTAATTTTAGTGATTCAGAATTGTTTTGTCATTTTCGGTATGGCTAACCCAATTGAATTTATTTTTTACCTTGGACATTTATAAATTTCTATATTTTTTTTTGCAGCCAGAAATTGAGTTTAGTGAAGATGCCACACATCTGTCATATTTACCATTAGCACATGGATATGAGCGACTGTGCCATGTAAGTCAATATGCATACAAAATATTTTAAAGTAGCTTTGTGATATTATGGCCGTCACAAATGGCCGTCAAGATCTCATCAAAAGTGAGAGAGCCACATAACTTGTTTTTACCCCAAAATACATTTCGTAGTGTATTCTTTACCATCATCATGTCCACTGTTCTACTTATCTAATGGACATGATGGCGACAGAGAAAAGAAAACTAATTTGAGAGGCAAAAATAAATCATCTATTACTGTAAAATACTTTATTTTAGCTGGAATTAATTTTCACAGAAAAGCCTTTTAGGGTGTATGGAATTTATTTTCACTGGGTTTTGAAGAGTTGGATGTAAAATATAGGAAAAAAGGTATATTTGCTGGATTTTATTTTCACTGAATCATTCCTTCAGCAAAAATAGTGAAAATTAATTCCAAATAAAAATAAAGTATTTAACAGTATATTATCTCATTGCAACAATAGGCGTTTAGCTAAATTAGCGTCATCTTGAAATAAAAGTCAACTAAATTAGCTAAAATTGCATGCTAGCTGACATGGTTTTTGCCACCTAAATTTCAGAGCAACATTTTGCATATGTTCATGTATTTTTCATTAATTATTCATGAATTTTGAACCAGATGAAAATAATTTTTCACTGCCTACAGGTCTTGATGAAAAGTTTTGATAAAAATTGGAAAAAACTAATTTTCAGGTTTTTTTGTGATAAATCTTGACAATTATTGTTTTCTGAGGCAGTATTCCCATCTTCAATGAAGTTGTGCTTTTTAGTCCCCGTTCAAACAAAGTCCAAAAACGAGGACTTATAATTCGGTCTTCGTCCGTCCGTCCGGAGTCATATCTCAGAATCCCTTGGACCGATTCCGTTCATTCTTTGCATGTGCCTAGTACTTTATCTGGGACATATGCACATGCAGTGGTTTAGCGATTCGATTCAAAATGGCCGACTGGCAGCCATCTTGTTTTTTGAAAATACTGTATTTTGGATATGCTTTGTCAGTTTTCATTCAAATTTGGTACATAGATTATACATGTTAGGATACATGTCCATGACGATTTATTTCACAATTGGATCAAAGATGGTCGACTGGCAGCCATCTTGTTTTTTGAAAATGTCGTATATTGGACATGCTTTGTCAGTTTTCATTCAAATTTAGTACATCGATCATACATGTTAGGATACATGTCCCTGACCATCCGTGAGTTCCTGAATCTGTCCGTCCGTCTGTTCGTTCGTGCGTCAGTCTGTCAATAGTAATATTTCAGAATCCTGTGGACTGATTCCGTTCATTCTTTGCATGTGCCTAGTACCTTATGTGGGACATATGCACATGCAGTGGTTTAGCGATTCGATTCGAAATGGCCCGACTGGCAGCCATCTTGTTTTTTTAAAATGTCGTATATTGGACATGCTTTGTCAGTTGTCATTCAAACTTGGTACATAGATTATACATGTTAGGTTACATGTCCATGACAATTTATTTCGCAATTGGATCAAAGATGGTCGACTGGCAGGCATCTTGTTTTGTTTTTTTATGCGGTATCTTGGAAGTGCTCTGTCAGTTTTCATTCAAATTTGGCACATACATGTACTTTATACATGTTAGGATGCATGTCCATGACAATTTTTTTCAAAATCTGGTCAAGGATGGCCGATTGACAGCAATCTGACTTTTTGGCCTTACTACTATATTTCCACAATTTATGTATCATTTTCATTCGTATTAGGCACATACATCATACATATCAGTGTGTTTCATAATCGGATCAAAGATGGCCAAATAACGGCTGTTTTTATTTTTGGCCATATTACTACTACACGGAGCACATGTTTTTTTATGTAAATAAACAATCTGTTGTATACGCCACTTGGAATCAAGTTTCAAGAACACGCTTGCGACAACCCCCCCGCTTTAATATGACAAGCACAAAGAGAACTTTCAAAAATTTAACGGGGACTGTGTCATTTTCAATGACTTGTTTTATTTTGTACTACTGTAAAATACTTTATTTTAGCTGGAATTAATTTTCGCTGAAAAGAAATTTTTGGTGTTTTGTATGAAATTTATTTTAACTGATTTTTTGAATGTAAAATATAGAAAAAAAGTTATATTCGCTTGATTTTATTTTCACTGAATCATTCCTTCAGCGAAAATAGTGAAAATTAATTCCAAGCGAAAATAAAGTATTCTACAGTATATTGTGTCTGTTTGCATGTATCCACTGCATAAAAAAATATTTATGGATGCGTTGTTTTTAAATTGTGAACTGCAGTTTTCGAACTGAAACATGCGATTATGAGAAGCAATACATTTTTTTTGGCCAATGAAATGTTTTTAAATTATTTCAGTTGTTCAAGCCATAAAATTATTCGCATTTATTTTCTACTGAAGTGAATGTTAACTCTAGAGGGATATTACCTAACACCAGAGGGGGCTATTTATTAATTTACTAACTCCAGAGGGAGCTTTTTGATAATGTTTTATAACTTTCTGTATTGCATTTTTAGGCTATTGCTATGTCACATGGTGCTAAGATTGGATTTTATCAAGGGGATATTCGAAAACTAATGGATGACAGCAAATCAGTGCAGCCGTTGGCATTTCCATCGGTTCCACGACTTTTTAACAGAATTCATGATAAGGTGAGTTTTGCAAACATAATGATTATAGACCTTACTCAATGACCCTAAATTGACTTTTAGAGTATTTTTTCCATGCTTTAATTAGTCTGTGTAACAGGCTCAATTTCCAGTCATGGCAATAAAAACTGTGGTATAGACTATATTATGCTTTGCCATACCACCAGAAAGAACACCACTCTACTGGTGTATAATCTACCATCATTAATTTATACTGACACATTTAAGTATGTCATTAGTTCTTCTTCAATTTCATGAAATTATTGTCTTTTATAATCAACTTTTGTCTTTGGGATTTCTGGTGTTTAGCTCATAAGAGACCAACAGGAACTACCGTATGACTCGCTTTTAAAGATCTGCAATAATTGAATAACAAACAACTACACACCCAAACACAGTTTGTTTTGTTGATTTAGATGTTCCAATTATTACTATTTCTTCTATTTTATCAGGTTGTTGCAGGTGTAAATAGTAGTTTTATTAAAAAAACTTTGTATAACATGGCATTTAAAAGTAAAGAATCTGAAGTTAAAAGGTAAGTTTAACCAATCAGTGCAAGGATTCAACCAATCAGTGCAGTGGTTCAAGTAATTAGTGAAAGATTCAACCAATCAGTGCAGTGGTTCAAGTAATTAGTGAAAGATTCAACCAATCAGTGCAGTGGTCCAAGTAATTAGTGAAGGATTCAACCAATCAGTGCAGTGGTCCAAGTAATTAGTGAAAGATTCAACCAATCAGTGCAGTGGTTCAAGTAATTAGTGAAAGATTCAACCAATCAGTGCAGTGGTCCAAGTAATTAGTGAAAGATTCAACCAATCAGTGAAATTATTCAACCAATTAGTGCAAGGGTTCAACCAATCAAATTTGGGATTCAAAAAGATGTAAACAGACCTAGAAATTTGTCATGTGACTATCCATTTCATTGTCTAGATAAACTAGGAGTAACCAGTGTTGATTACAAACTTGAAGTTTATTCATAGAAGTATATTTCATTGAGTTATGCGTCAAATATGGCTTCTATTTGGGGACATTACATCGGGGAAACTAAGTGAAATTGTTCACTACTATCCTTTCATAAATCGGTTTCTCATTCTTTTTTGTAGGGGAATAATACGACAAGATAGCATGTGGGATAAATTGGTATTCGGTAAAATTCAGTCGCTACTTGGTAACAAAGTCAAGGTTATGTTTAATGGTGCTGCTCCATTGTCAAGTGAAACTATGATGTTCTTACGAGTGGTATTTGGTTGTCACGTAAGTTATATTTGTGGGTAATAATCGCTCACATCCGATCAGGTTCAAACTGCATGCATTGGATTGTAGAGTTACAATAAAGGAAGCGTAATGTACATTTAAACAATACACTGTTTATTATGGCGATGTTACAACAAAGAAACTACAATGTAATAAGAAGGCAACTGATAAATACACGATAGAATGCCCTTTTTATAGGGTTCAGTAGGATTCACACCTATGGATTAAAATAGGAGGGAGACACAGTGATAGGCTTTCAATATTGATACATCGGCTTAAAATCGACCTTGCAACTGATTCCTATTGCGTTCGTGCTGTCTGTTGATTATTATTAATTGGCTTGTATAAACCGAATCTGTGTTAATTTATAATAGAGATACATGTATTAAAGTGCGAAATCTTGACATGTAATAACTTCTACTGGCTATATCTCAGCTAATTGAACAAAATAAAGACGAATAGATAAAGCAAAACATGATCTAATAACACAACTAAATTTCGAGCAAGAAAGCATAAATCTGAATAAACAACAACAAATGTGAATCAATGAGAAAAAAACACAAGTGGATAAGCATCTACGACAATATTCATTCCTAGTTGTAGTTGATGTGTGTGTTGGTGAATATATTACTGCAATGTGAACATGTTACTCCAATGTAAAGGGGCTTTAATACAATGGAGTTTAATCTCCTTCCCCTTGGAAGGAAAGTAACACCACTGCCAGTAATACTGAAGTGAATTACGGTAAATATGGTGTAGTTTAAGTTCACTTGGAAGGGAGCTGTATGACAGCAATTTGCCATAGGGGTTTTAAGTGCATTGATGTCCAAAATGCAATATATGTTTAGTTTGTTATATTGACCTGTATACACTGTTAGATATGTATAGTGGCCTACCTATTTACCCCTTTTGTAAAATTAGAGTATGAGATCCTTACCTTCTTAATTACAAAGCAGAACTTACATCGGCGTAACTTGTAAAACACTGAGACAAACAGCATCCAAACTGCATGAGAAAAACATTATTATATATAAACATTGGTTTCTATTATTCAATTTGAATTTTATAGGTCATCAATGGATATGGTCAAACAGAAAGTGGAATTGCAGCGACGCTTACAATGCCTGGAGACCACAACACAGGTAAGAAATATTACACATAACCTAACAGTACTTTTAAGTGGAGAAACTAAGAGGCATTCTCATGTGACCACATGTTTTATCTCCCATGTAATAAGTACAAGTACACTTTTAATCTACCCACTGTCACACATTTGCAATCAATAAATTATGCAACAATTTGACGTAAATATTTATTTTCAAAAGGAACTATTTGATACACTCGCATCATTTCACAGTGTCATTGAGAATGTGATAACAATGTCCTTCACATTGTGTACATTTTAGAACTAGATCGGGTACAATTTTACCACTGATCTAGAACTACTTCGGATTAATGCTACTCGCACTGATCACTCATTATATGTCCATTTCAACACATGTACATACGTGAACATTTTGAGAAAATTTGAAAAAGTATGTAAGGTCAACAGGAACAATCTTTTCACACACAAAAAAACTGGTAATTCACCTTAAATGAATTGTAGTGTCATATGTCAAGTTTGTTTTCGAAAAACATGTCCAAATTTAAATAAACTGTTCAGTCAGGGATGTAGCAACACCTGATGATTTGAAATGTCATACTGACAAAATAATCACAGTTTACTGAAATATAAGCACAATTTTCTTTAAAAATATTATGAACACTTCAGATCAGGATTCTCTACATTATGAACACTTGAAAATTGTCAAATCAGGAATTCTCCATATTATGAACACTTGAAAATTGTCAAATCAGGAACTCTCCATATTATGAACACTTGCAAATTGTCAAATCAGGAATTTTCTATATTATGAACACTTGCAAATTGTCAAATCAGGAATTCTTCATATTAGGAACACTTGCAAATTGTCAAATCAGGAATTCTCTACATGATAAATATTGGTAATTTTGGCTCAATAGATCTTCAATGCATATCAGCATGCACGGTTATAAAAGTTACAGTCTTGTATCTTTTCTGTATTAATTTTGGATTTCACTTCTCATCTCCTGCTTTGTTTAAGATCATGTTGGTTCACCAATGCCTTGTAATATGATTAAACTTGTGGATGTACCAGAAATGGAATATTATGCTGAAAATAACCAAGGAGAGGTAAAGTGATCTTATGTTTTGTTGATTATATTGTATATAAACAAGAGGTTACAACTTGATTTTTGAATCTAAAATGTCACGTTTTTACAGTAAGCAAATAATTTAAAGTGCTGTGGTCGTCGTGTGGCGCGTGTTCAAATTTCATGTAAACAATGTATTTTACACGCGTTGTATACGTCGCTATGAGTCCCATATCGAACAGGACGCGGCACGACGACTGTCACCCTTTAAGATGAATAGAGTTAGAATACACAAAACTTTTATAATGGCTATAATATTTTACTGTTCCAGTTTGGATTAACGGTTATAGACGTTAATAGTTTGTACTACGACATAGTAATAATCAGTCTCAAAAACCCTGGAAGGGAATAGATTTGATGAAACTGATTAATTTGTTTAATTTGGGACATAATTTGGTGAATGTAATAAAATACTTTATTTTAGCTGGAATTAATTTTCACTGAAAAGGCTTTTTGGGTGTTTTGTATGGAATTTATTTTCACTGATTTTTGAAGAGTTAAATGTAAAACATAAGAAAACAGGTATATTCGCTTGATTTTATTTTCACTGAACCATTCCTTCAGCGAAAATAGCGAAAATTAATTTTACAGTACCTATATGATGGCTGCGATTTGTCGAAATTAACGGATTCTCATTGGCTGAGCATAACCTTGTCAGAATCATGATTTGTACTAAAGTTTTTGGTACTATATTCATCTGTGTAGTAGTTTTAGGATATATTTTCACATTCTATCTTGTTAAATCCTCCCAGTCGATGACTGATCTAAATTTTCTACAGTTTATATTGGACAGCAAATAACTACCGGTACAAATCAATACCTTTTTACTTTGCCCGTACCATCAAAGATGGAAGGGAAAGGTATATTAAGGGAAAAATTTTGTCCGGCGTTGTCGTTGTTGTTGTTGTTGTCGTCGTCGTTAATAATTGTTATTGTGTGCATAATAACTTTACTAATTCTATTCCAAACTTCATCAAACTTGGTCACCTTATTCATCAGTATAAAGTCTTCTCTGAGTTTGAACAACAGATGTCCTGTATGAAAATATCATGCAAAAATTGAGAAAATCTGATAAAATGTTTGACTGTTTCTACTTGACTGATCACTGGTGATACACATCAAAGGTCACTGATCTCAGTGGAAATATGCATTGTTGTATGTGTTCAATGAAGCAAATGATTTATCTTGTAATAATATCTTTGGTAATGTATCTCAAAATCCCATACTGGGTTTCAAAACCAACTCATGGAGAGATTGCACAGTCTGATACACATTTGCAACCCTACCAATAAAATCTTTACAGAAAACAAGATGTCAGAAAATATAAGCACTCCTATGAACTGGGTGCCAAACTTTGATCAAGATCTGAAGCTTATAGAAAATCTGTTTAGTTCAAAATGATCAAATCAAAAACAATACATAAAAAATACATAAAAAGCAAACATTTCATCCACATTTTAAAAAGAAATTGTTCTAA